CAACAGACCCAGACCCTGTCTCAAAAAAAAAAAAAAAAAAAAAAAAAGAAAAAGAAAAATTACCTGCACATGGTAGCGTGTGCCAGTAGTCCTAGCTACTTGGGAGGCTGAGGCATGAGAATCTCCTGAATTCAGGAGGTGGAGGTTGCAGTGAGCCAAGATTGCACCACTGCACTGTAGCCTGGGCAAAAGAGTGAGACTCTCAAAAAAAAAAAAAAAATCAGGAAATTAATGTTGATACAACACTATTTAGTGTACAGGTCTTATTTATATTTTGTTAGTTGCTTCGATATGTCCTTTATAGCAAAAGAAAATCCTAGACATCTGTTTTGCATTAAGTTTTTCTGTCTCTATAATTTCCTTTAATCTGAAAGAGTTATCAAGTTTTTCTTTTGTATTTCACAGCATTGACATATTTGAAGTTTACTGACTTTTTTCTTTCCTTCTTTTCTTTTTTTTTTTTTTTTAGAGATGGGGTTTCACCATGTTGGCCAGGATGGTCTTGAACTCCTGACCTTGTGATCCGCCCGCCTCGGCCTCCCAACGTGTTGGGATTACAGGCGTGAGCCATCATGCCCAGCTGACTACTGACTTTTTAAGATAATGCCCTCAATTGGGTTCTGTGGTTTCCTTATGATTAGATTCAGGTTATGCACTTCTGGCAGGAGTAGCACAGGGCTGAACCCGGTTAATTTTTAAATATTTTATAGGGACAGGATCTCACACTGTGTTGCCCAGGCTGGTCTCAGACTCCTAGTCTCGCGATTCACTTGCTTTGGCCTACCACAGTGCTGAGTTTACAGGCACGAGCCACTGTGCTCGACCGATGCAGCAGCCTTCTTTTTGTGTCCCATCAGGCATATGCTGTGAATAGCCCATTCACTGGCCCTGTTAACTTTGATTGCTTGAATTAAGGTGGTGTCTATCTCATTGAAAAGTTACCATTTTTCCCTTTGTAGTTAATCTGTGTCTCAAAGGAAGAGAATTTGAGACTATGTAAATATACTGTTACTTCTTATACAATTACTGACTAGTTTCAGAATCCATTGATGTTTCTTACCTGAATCAATTATTACAATAGTTGGCAGATGATGGTTTTCTAATTTCATAGTTCCTTCTATATTTATTAGTTGGAATTGTACTGCAAGGAAAAGCCTTTCTTTCTCATTTATTTTTTGATTTACATCGATAGACTAATGAATTCTTGCTTTATTCAATAGATTAGAGTCTGTTACTCACATTATACATTTTATTGCTCAAATTATCCTGGATTTGGCCAGTGGGAGTCCCTTCAAACTGGATTTTGTGTCCTTTTGACATTTGCCCATCATTCTTTGAGGACTTTTCTTTCTGGCACAAAATCTTGAAGACTCGTCTTGTACTTCCCTTGTCCCAGCCCTGGAATCAGCCATTTCTCCAAAGAGTCCTGGTTTCCTTTAGTGAAGAAACGTATTAAAAACCAAGATGCAGGCACTAAGCATGCCCATTGCTACTGAAGTGTCACAAATTCTAGACCTTCTCAGGGGTTAGATGCTCTCATTGTAAACATAAATGTAGTCACATTACACAAAATTTTCTGTGGCTTGCTTTTAAAATTTATACTTCTTCCATTAGTGTGTGAAACTGTCTATTTCCCTTTAACTTGGCCAACATTTAAGAGAATAAATCTTGTTAATTTTGCCACTCCAATGGACAAGGAAGACATTATTTTTTTAATTACATTTCCCAAATTACCAAAAATATCGAATACCTTTTCTT